GAGACCCATCTGCATTTCATTTCATCAGCCCCGCCTAGTCAGATTGGATACTACTCACTGGAGATTCTACCTTCCTCCAGGCCCTCTGGATCTAGGTTCCTTCTTGAAAGCTTGTAAGCCAGTCACTTCTTGCCTTTTGACATGTCATCTTGAACTATATGCAGTTAAGTTGTTTTTATTGTTAAGAGTCGGTTCATACTCATAGTGACCCTGTATAAGGTTTCCGAGGAGCAGTTGGTGGGTTTGAACTGCTGATCTTGTGGTTCACAGTCCAATACTGATCCTACAGCACCATACCAGGAGTCCATTAAGTTATTAATTAAGTTAGCACACTCAATATAAACTATTCTTAATACAATTGAGAAGAGTGTGTGGCCATACATATGCATCCACTCATACACATTCATCATTTTATTTTGTAATTTGTCCACTTTTTCAGATGAACTAGTTGATACTATAAGATTATATTCATTTATGCTGTTTTAAAAATAGTGTGTATGGGGCAAGGGTATGTTGAGAATAATGGAGGACTACATACATACACCACTGACATTCACAATGTTGTATAAACTTTCTACAGTCATACTTGGAGATATTATGAGTTTGCTTCTAAACTACCTCAATAAAGCTAACATCACAATAAAGCAAGTCACATGAATCCCTTGGTTCCCCATTGCTTATAAAAATTATGTTTACACTATACTATAATTTATTAAGTGTATAATATTGTTGTTAAGTGCCATCGAGTTGGTTCCAACTCATATCAACCCTGCATAGCTGCTTCCAAAAAGCAGCTCGTGGGTTTGAACTGTTGACCTTGTTGTTCGCAGTCCAGTGCTGATCCTACAGCACCACAATAAGATTCCATTTAAGTGTGTAGTAGCATTATTTTAAAAAGAAAAAAATGTTAGAATGTTTTATTTGATAGCACTTAACAAGAATGCATAGTCAAAATAATTGTTTGTTGTCAAATCAGTTCCAACCCATAGCGACCCAGTATAGGGTTTCCAAGGAATGACTGGTGAGCTTGAACCGCCAAACTTGCAGTTCAAACGGCTTTGCAGTCTGGTGCATTAACCCACAATTACCAAAGTGTAACAAAGACACAAAGTGAGCACATGTGGTCAGAAAATTGGCATCAATAGACTTGCAATGCAGGGTTGCCACAAATCTTCCATTTGTAAAAACACAGTATCTGAAGTACAATAAAGTAAAGTCCAATAAAACAATGTATGCCTATATTTCCAAAACCCTTTCATGACTCCAAACAGAAACCTTCTGACCATTTAGCAATAACTCTCCATTCCACCTTCCCAATAACTTTAACCTGCATTCTCTCTATGAATTTGCCTCTTCTAGGTCAGTCATATAAGTGGGTCATATATTATTTGTCCCGTTGTGTATGCCATCTGTCAACTAACACAATGTTTCAAAATTCATTATTACTGCATGTAGCCTGCATCAGAATTTTATTCCTTTTTATGGCTGAAAAATATTCTACTATATATGTATCACATTTTATTTATCCATTTAGCTACTTATAGACACTCAGGTTGTTTTCACCTTTTGGCTATTGTAACTAATGCTGCTATGAGCACTGGTGTAGAATTATCTATTTGGGTATATACCTAGAATATCTGTTTAAGTCACTGCTTTCAAATATTCTAGAAATAGAATTTGGGGTCATATGGTAATTCATCATGATTAGAAGAGGACTCATTAACAAGCTGTGATATGCAGATAACACA